AATTGGAATTTTTCTTCGGTCTTTATAGATAAATAGTTATAATTATTTATTTAATATATATTTATTTATTTATTTTTTAAATAATAAACTAGTTAAAAAGTATCTCTCGGTTTAGCCGACAGATGTATACCCTCAGCCAATGTTCGATAATTAAAATATATTATGACTTGTGTTATGATTATTTAAATTGTTGAGCTTCTATGCAGTAGGTTCTGAAGTAATGGGCCAATGTTGTTCACTTTGTATCAGACCTAAACATATGTGATATAAATATTACGATGTGCCAGGTTTGAACTTTATTGGTAACTTCCTTCACTTTATATGGGATATGTGATAATTTTTAGAAAATGTTAAAATGTGCGTGAGGTACCAAGTGTAGTCGACCGAAGCATTCCATTTTCATACTTCATGAAATACACATAAATATATCGGATTAAAAAAATACAGGTAAATCGAATCTTTTTATTCAATTTTATGCGAATTCATAAATTCTATATTCATCTCAGGTTTCTAATTGAAAGCAATATTTAGACTTAGCAAGTTGTAAAGATAAAAGTATTGGAAATTCACAGATATATGCCATTTTCACAACAGATCTTTTGTCAACAAAAATGTTTGTATGTGCAAAATTTTCCAAATATTGAACTCTATGTGGGGGAGGTACCAGAAGAAATATTGTTATATGTTTAATTTAAAGAGAACTGGATGCTTTTTCGGATGTTATGGTCGTTTTGGTTATTCAAAACTTTCACCCTTTGCAGGGGAGGTACCAGAAGGAGTATTCCGATCTCTACCATGTTTATAACATATCTTTTGTTAATGGAAATATTCAGATGATCCAAGTCTGAATGGAATCGGATGGTAATTTCGTGTTTTCTGAACTTAATAAATATTTAAAATTTCGATCTTTTGTGTGGGAGGTACCAGAAGGAGTGGACCGATATATTCCATCTTAACACCAGATCTCGGGTTTATAAAAATATTGGGATGTGTTGCATTTTAAGACAATCGGATGCATACATCACATTTTATAAGGGTTATAATTATTCAAAATGTTTACCCTTTGTGGGGGAGGCAATTGGTGTAGTGGGCCGAAGACAATTGGACTCTTACATCACATTTTATAAGAGTTGTAATTATTCCAAATTTTGAACGTTTGTAGGGAAGGTACTTAATGGAGTGGACCGGTATTGTCCGTTTTCGCACCTGTCCTAGCATTGATGCAAATATTAGTATATGCAAAGTTGGAGCAAAATCAGATTAACCTTTCTCTTTCTGTGGGGGAGGTATCAGAAGTATATAACTGAAATTGCCTAACTACGATTTGATCTGAATTTCAGCAGAATATCACGATTTACTTGAAAACAAAAATTCATTGTAAAAAACAAACATTAAATTTTTTTAAATTCATTTTTAATTTAATACAAAATAATTTTTTTTAATATATGTAAGATTTTTAAAAAATAAATAAGTTTAATAATCGAATTTTAATTGCAAACACAAAGAAATTTTCCTTTTAAATGTAGTACTATTTAGTACCTTTCGTACTCGTACAAATACACCAAATTTTAGATTCCCAACTCTATCTCTTCCAACTTTCACTTTGCCAACACCATTCCCTTGTCATATACCAAAAAGTACCTATCGTACTTTTTAGCACATATTTGCAAACCAATTTCAACTTTACACACTAACAGTGACCAGAATAACAAAATTTCAAAAAAAAAAAAAAAATGAGCAGTTTCGCATGAGGGGCTTTATTACAATATTTTAAACCTAATGTATCTGTCGTCGAAATTGATTTTAAGAGATTTGAAATCCATCTAGAGAGTTTCATCCCTCAGCCTGAGAGGCTGGACACACAACTTCCCAAGGGCTGATATTTTACATCAAATTTCCATCATACTGGGATCAAATCTTGAGTTGGCCAATACCTGTTTACACATACTAGAGAACCTCTCCCTCAAAGGTCTTATTTGCTAAAAGAGAACATAATAATATAATAATAATATTTCATATTCAAGACTGGTGAGTGAGAAAATTGTTCAACAAAAAAACATACGATTTTAATTTATTTTTCGATTTTTCAATCTTCGAACAACTCAAAAATTTGTCCGCCATGTATTTTCTACCTTCCATAGACCTTACAAACTTTAAAACATAAGAAATTGTTTATAAAGGAAACGAAGCCTATGATTAAAATTTAAATTCACTCATCGTAATATATTTTATGATTCAAAAAGAGACAACATCGATCAAAATGAAAATAGTTCATTGCTTTACTACAAAGGGTGTAAATAGATCATTTTGGCCGACTCTCAAATCTTCCCAGCAAATGGTCATTATTTTGAAAAATAGTTATTCTTATATAAAACAAATTCTATACCCATGCTGAACCAACATTGAACATAATGATATTATTATCAAACTTTGCCGATTAGATTAAAAAAAGAAAATATAGTCATATTGCTTCAGCTGTCTCCTCTTATAAGCTTAACAAATTGAAAGAAATCTTTTATCTCCTAATATGCAAAATGTGTTTTTCATTGGATTTCCTACGAGGCGATAAAAATTAAAAAAACACATAAAAATATTTTAGGTGTTGAAGAGCCAAAATCTAGTATCGAAATATTTACAGCTAAACGTGCCTCATTTCCCAATCTGGAAGACAAACTTCATTTCCGCACATCTCTTTTGAATGGTAAAATTTTAAATTTTAATTTTAATAAATAAATTCCATAGAAATATTTCCCGATTTAAGAGGTCGATAATTACAAGAAGTGTTTAATCTTTGTGAAAGAGGCACCACAAGAAGTAGACCAACATACATTTATGCAACATTTTTTCACCTTTCGAGGGGTGGTACTAGCAATTGATGGCCAATATTTTAAATGCTCTCTTCAGACCCAAGTTTTATAGAAATATTACCACATACTAGAGTTGTCTCAAACTAATTTGATTGAACGTACTATTTCCTCATCTAGTACCGTGAACTCTGCGTATGAGTGATACGAAATATATAAAATCGCTCATACGTTAGGAACTGGTGTACTGAACAATGAACTACATTAACACAACTTTACCACTTTATGGTGCACCCAATTGGTTTTATATGAGATATATGGGTATGGGTATTTTTTCGAATTTTGTCACTTTTATTATAGAGAATTAGCTAATTGTAATAATAAATGATATTATGATGTGTTTAGTTTAATCAATATTCGACATTTATTTAACATTTTTACGAGAGTTATTATTTTTTTATATTTTGAATGTTATGATCATTGCAGTTATTCCGAAAAATTGGCACCACATACGGTCTGCCACATCCCATCTATCTTCACACTACATCTTGTTTTGGTATAATTTTGACAGTTAGAATAGGCGCTTATTTCGCATATTATAAGCGTCAATGTTAAATAAAATGTTGACTCGCTTGTGAACGAGGTGTCAGAAAAATGGCACATTTAATCCTGTCTAAAGATATGGAGTTGCTAAGTTTTAAGACAATCGTATTTCACATTTTATAAATAATTGGCTGTAAGAAGGAGCGGGCCGATATAGACCGTTTCCCACAAACATTAGGCCTTAAAAAATATTGCTATAGTCCAAGTTTGAACGAAATCGGTTTCCCCCGTTTCTTCTTGTGAGATGTTCAATGTTTGTAATTCAATACATTTTTACCATTTAGGGGGTACCAGTAGAGGAAGAAAAGGACCGATATTACGCATCTTGGAACTTGATCTAAGATTATCTAAAATTTTAAGATGTGATGAGTTTGAGCATAATCGGATACTCTACAGATAGACTGGCAGAAAGACATTTTGGTCGTAGCAAATTATATCTGCAGCCTCACAGCTGAAGGTATAAACAGATATATTCAGGGAAATTCGATTTTTTTAACTTTTTCGGCGAATTGATGTGGTGGTTCCGAATGGAAACATAAACCTTTGAAAGAATATCGTCAAGGTTTTAAGAATAATAAAACAAGTAAAAACAACTGTAAGTTCGGCCGTTAAATTTTCTGTTAAAATCTTAAAAATACCGAATGTAGCCGTTCTTAAAGGGCCTATACGACGACGTGGACTGCATAGGCAACTTTTATCATAAACCATTACAATATTCAAATACGAAACTTGAATAAAAAAATCGGTGAATAAATAAGCTAAAATCATCGATATTTCGAATATAGGGAGGTGCCTTTATATTGGAGCTATACGAAGACTTAGACCTGCACAGACAATTTTCTGTCATAGGCTGTAGTAACCATTACGAACTTCAAACACAACATTTGAAACAATTCCGGTGAATAATATCGCTAAAATCATGAAAATAACGAATATCGGAAGGTACCGTTTTATGAGAGATATACGAAGACGTGGACCTTCACAGACAATTTTCTGTCATGGACTGTAGTACCCCTTATGAAATTCAAATACAAAAATTGAAATAAACCATTTTTAAATTCTGTTAAAAAAACTGATTCTACTAACCTCAAATTGGAAAGATAAAAATATCTTTAATATTTCATCCAAAGATTTCTTGTTCCGATACACATAAATTTATTCTTGTTCTTTTTTTCTTACTTTTGTAACAGCCAATTAAGTTGAATTCCATTCGATGAGATGTAGATTTACAATAAACTTCCCCTCCCAACAAAAAAAATCCTTCAAAGTCACTCTGGCATAACAAATTAAAATAATTGTCTATTTCAAATCCGCAGAAATATCTATTTTTTTTGTTGGTTGTTAATGAACAAAAACAACAAAATATTTGAGCAGTACTTAAGAGCTGCGACTGCTTCTTTTTCTTCTTCTCGCTCTTTTCTGTTGTCAGTCAGTCAGTCAGTCAGATGACAATTTATTCATGTCAAATCTAATGAATTTGATGAACTTTCATTGAAACCACAGACTGGGGTGAAAACGGTGCGAGCTCTGAACAAATTAACAGCAACGACAAAAGAGATAAAGGAAAACCGAGTGAAATATAATGATTCTTACCCGCAATGCAAATTTGAGTCTCAGAAGCTAAGGCGACGACGAAGAAGAAGAAGAGCACTTCTGCCACTATGCTGCTGGTGTTGCCTTGCCTGCTTGAGGTTGAGGTTGCTTTTAAGGCTAAGGTTGTTTGAGACTGCTGATATCAGGTTGCACGAATGACAGAAGTAACAAATTGAAAGTGTTTCAATTGAATTTTAAGATGCGTTGTTGGGGGTTTCGCGGGTTCTTATTTAATTTAAGGATTTTTTGTTGGGTTTTTTGCATTTTCTTAAATTATTTGTTTGCTAGGTGTTTTCTTTAATTTTGATAAAATTTGAATATTATTTTTTTATGTATCTTGACCATTATTTAAAAATTTTTGTTTATTTTTTATTGTGAATATTTCATGTTGCTGTAGTTGTATGCCATACTACCATCACCACCACTGTCGTGCCACTAAGAATTTATTTTCGGGACTCTAATTTTGCTGATTGTAATTGTGGCGGCAAAGAAACAAAAACCTCACGACCGACAACGGGTCATCGTTCAAATACCAGCCAAACATCCAGCATCACATTTCCACACAAACGATACGAACCGACCTAAAACCGCGCGCTCCTCATGGACACATATACACACACAAACACGTTGTAGCTGCTTGTGATATATATATAAATAACACTCAAACCCAGGTATGTTTGTATGTAGGAATATGTGTGTACAAATTTATAGGACGATGATGACAAAAATTTATTTTCACCAAAAACCAGGTTAACATTTGCACATTTTATTACAAACAAACAATGAGAGAAACAAGCACACGTACACACACAAACGCACACGAACTTACATATATTCACATTTCATTATTTTTATTATTACAAATGCATGGAGCCAAAAGATATGCGGCTGCTGAGTTACATATATTTACGGGAACAAATACACATACGTACACACTGGTAAAACACCTGCGAATTTCCTTTTTCCACCTACACAGACCTACAATCATGTTTACATACATATAATTTTTTGATTATTTTTTTTTTCTTTTTTTCACTTATAGTTGTAGTTGTGGTTTCTCGAATGTATTTAGGCGAGAAAGAGTGTGTGTGTGGGGGGGTTGGATGGGGGGTTAATGCGAACCCATTCGGTTTTTGGCACTTTGAACTGGGTGCTAATTGTGGTTGGGTTATTACCAATGGCAGTGCTGGTGCTTTCTTTTACAGGAACACTGCAACATTCCTTGCCATTCGTTTTCAAATCACTGCTTTTTAATACTTTTTCCCGGCCAAATAATATTTTCTTTTTTCAATTAGCCAAACTATCCTTTGCTTCCGAAAAGTAAAATTCCCTTTTCACTCGTTTTCAAAATTCGTTTCGTGTGTTTTTAATTTTTTTTTTTTTTCTAATTCCTCGTAAACAGGCTAAAGTAATCTGTGCTTGGATTTGCTATGCCTTGTTTTTCTTCCATTCAACTTTGTTGAAGTTTTGGTAGAGCTCTTGCAAAACGAAATAACCGCTGCCGTATTTGTTTCGCAACTAACATGACCACGTTTCCGAGTTAACTGATTTGGAACGGCAGTGGTTCGTATGCTGGCATGTAAAACACATCGTCCATCTGAAGGAATTTTACGTATTCGAAATACGGGTTTTCTATCACCCTATTTTTGAGAGGCCTGCTCTCGCGAAAATTCTCTTCTTCTCATTTTAACCACAAACATTCAACCCAAACATAATAAGGACACAGGGCAGTATAAGAGAATTCACATAGAAAAAATATAAGAGCATTTAAAACTCACCACCAGCGAATACCGGAAACCCAAATAATGAAACGGTTTCTTTGGTTTGTCTACCACGCACACACAGCCACACAATATAAGAGTCCCAAGAAAATCACTCTCTCCCAAAGTGTGGTGAGATTTCTCGCTTATGCTCTCTTTTGATTACTCAATTTCGAATTTAGACATTCGTGTGTTTTTCTCACCCCCTCGCTTTGGGGGCACACTCGTGGGTGCATGTGTTTGTGTATGCTGTCGCTATATTCTGATGTGCTAGGAATGTATGTATATGTCTCACGTGTCATGTTTGTGACTTGTTTTAGTCATGACTTGATAGATTTACTGTCACTGCAGATTTGACTAACAAAATGTTTACTAATGCATGCCATCGTCTTTACAGACACTCACCCGCACATACACACTCACACACCGGCACACCAAAATTGGTCAAGGAATTTAGTTGGTGGAGGCGGAGGAGGGGAGGTAACAGACAGATTTGTTGAGTTTTCTCTCACATTGTCAAGGGCAACAAATTAAAAACAAAGTTCATTTGTGTTAAAGTGAAATTTTCATTTAATCATAGATTTATTTACATTTTTATATAAAAGAATAATGAAAATATTGGTGAAGCCATGGTTATAATAAAATTGGATTTAAAAATAAATTTTACAAACCAAAAAAAAAATTTTAGACATCTATAAAAAGGTTATAGACATCAACAAAAATAATCTATAAAAAGACTACATTCAAACCATTCGAAACCCCACACCACTACGTCGTCATGCACGAAAAAGCAATCTAACAGATATTTTATTACAACACTTTTTTGGCCAAACAAAACCATTTGAGTAATTTAATATTGGCGAGTATTTGTTTGCAATACTTAATTAGTTAAAATAATTAAGATGTGTTTGCTAAAAATATTGATTGACTGAGTATTTAATAAAAACCTCTTAACCGTACTAAAAAATATTTTTTTGGAGCTGTGTTGGCATGTTTTTTCGGGATACCGTGATATTTTGTTGTTGCTAAATAGTCAGGCTTAATCCCATTATAGTTTTTTTTTTATTAAAACCACGTTTGTTTATTAGTGTAGAAAGATGGTAAAGTTTACCAGGGGGTAAGGCAGGAAATACCTTTGCTTTGGAAAGAACCACCAATCCTCCACAGTTCCCATGTTTTTGTCTGGGATATTCTCCTATGACAAAAAAAACTTGTCGAGATAGTAAGCTCATAGTTTTCTTCTTACTTAAGGCTTATGTCATAGTTTTCAAACAAATAAAATGTCATTTTATTTAATGGTTCCTTCTAATTTTCGGAAATTTGATTATATTGCAAATATTCAAATAAATAAACAGACTGATATTTCGCTTTTAAAAGGGTAACTAATTGTATATACTAGGAAAATATATGACATGTTAGAGGGTACAGAAATTTCGGCCCGGCCAAAAACATTTCATTTTTTACTTATATTCAGTACATTCTGGTATAAAATTCTGAAAATTTCCTTGCGTCATCTGCCTTTTACAACAATATTTACATAAATATTTTAGTATAGCTTAATTTCTATCTGACACTATACTGAGACATTTCAGATACGATAATTAATTTAATCGATCACTTTCTGAAATTTGCTCCTATATTTCATCAGTGCTTCAGAATTAAATATAAACATGATTTCATTAAATATACCTTTCTTAATCTCACATTACCAAAATAATGATCATATATTGCTCTAGTTATCTTTAATAATTCGAAATAATTTTTGTGGACTTTTAAGTCCAATAAAATTATTTAATTTTGTGATAATCTCATCAAAGCATCAAGAGCACAAATGGCATAGTAAAATAGTGCTTATTTTTGAATTGCATACTTTGATATGATTTTAGTGTGGGAACTAAGATAACTAATATTTTGAGGAACTGAAACACAGTTTTAAGTTTTTTTTTTTAATTTATTTCAGTGACTGAGCTTTAGAGAAGTTATATTTGGCTTTCAGATAAAACTAATATATGGGAGGCACATCCAATTCTGAATCGATTTTCACTAAATCTGACGGAAACATTTTAATTTTTTATACCAAATAACATTACTATAGAGTGCATGATATCACTTCAAGAAGGATTATATTGAAAAAAATACATATCGGAGCTGAGTTCCACAAAATGGAAACGTACGTCCCGAAATTCACTCATAGAAAGTGATTCTATGAAGATCCTCAAAAGTAACTATGGATCTACCTCGCTTCCTTCTCCATATTACAAACAAATGCACAAAGATATAATACCCTTAATACTATGTGGTGTAGGAAATAAAAATAGACCTCCTCCTCCGGAACAAAAATAAATTAAAAAGTATCGGTCAATTTTTCGATCTTTATATATATACCAGATGGACCTACATTTCCCGTCGTTACACCAACATTAATTTTTGATCAAATATTGTAATTTGAACTTGGATTAGAACTGGGTAATATTTTCGCATTCTATGAGATGAAATGAGATTTGAAATTATTCAACATGTTGACAATTTTTGTGGTATACAGGATATACTAATTGGATCTAATGTTGGTATAGCATTGTTTGAAGTAAAAATAAATATTGGTGAATTATTTTTATTTTTATAAAGATAATACTTGTTACAATTTTTGACTTTTTGGTTGGTTGGGATACCTGTGATAACCCATTAAATTTATTGTTGGTAGAAATATTGAGATATTCCAAGTTTAGTGTAAATCTCTTGTTATAAGAGTTATAGTTATTCAAAATAGTGACTATTTGAGTCGGAGGTACCAGAAGCAGTGGTCTGCTAGACTGGGGCTCATTGACCAGGATGTGGCTAATTCGAAGAGAATCGGATACTTAGTTTCATTCAAATTTGATCTTTTGTAGGGGATGTACTAGAAAGAGTGGTCCGTTCATCCTATCTTCATAAATGATATAGAGTTTTTTTTAGCATTGGAATGTGTGAAATTTGCATATGATCCGACTCTTATTTTTCAATTTATAAATGCTATGAAAAAATGCTAAAGCTTTTTGAAAGAGGTACCACAAGAAATGGACCGGTATTATATCTGATGGTCCTTGAAACATATTCTTTAAAAAATCCATGTTTACTTATCTTTAAACAAAATTAAAATATAGATTTTCATTTTTTTGGCGACTTATGATGAAAGTTTACGTAGAATGTTTATGCTTTTGATATTCCCCCCAAAAATCATGTTTTCTGGAACTGTAGCGATGGAGTGCGACATAAACTCTAAAACATGTTTTTATTCTGAGGCCTAAAGTAAAATTTTATTTTTTAAGAATATGACCTAAGGGTTCCTTTAATGGCTCTACAGAAGGTTAATGTGGTTTACAAGAAATAATTCCTATATTTTGTCAGTAACATTGGCGAAAACACTATTTACCTAAAATGAATGAATTCTTTCTGGCACCAGTTACAAAAAAGATAAATCGCATGTAAAGCGAACGAAGTCCTCCACTTTCCATATGGTATGGACATATCAACCCATATTATTGTAGTTCAAGATACTGAATAATAACGGTAAAAATTGGGACAGTCAGATTCCAAGTCTGCAGCCCTGAAAAAGTAGGTTTGTTCAGGAACCTTAAAGAATCGATTATTTTGCAATTCTTACAACACAAACGACATCCAATGGCTTTCTCCTGAAAAACAATTGCCCGATTAAAAAACTAACTATTTGCCATTTTCTGATTGCCTAGTGTTTTAATTTTGAATGATTACTATGTAATTCTTTTCAGGTAATTTTGACAGTATACACTTCCACTTGTTTTTCCGCTCAAAATTATGAAAATACAGCAAATATGTTTTTCGCTACTAATATTTGCGGATGTTGCTGTAAAGTAAATTATAACTTGCACATTGGGCTCTTTTAAGTCTAATACCTTGCGAGGTAACATACTACATTCATAAACCTCAGTATTCAACCTCAAAATACCAATACTGGTCATCGTTGTTCCCCTCATAGCTTGTTGGCTTTCAAGCGGTAACAATGTGTTGTCCTTTATCACAATTCTGGTCAATATCACTTTGCCATTTGATTAATGCATGTTTTTTTTCCAGAGCAGATTCTCATAAATAAAGTACACGATTGGCTCCGTCCCTGAAGCCAAGGAAAGCAACAACAATTATGGACAGCACACAAAAAAGTTAACAGTTTTTCCAAAACTATTAATCATCACATAGTTGCAATCAAAATCTCCAAACAGAGTCAAATAGATTTTTTTGCTTGCAATTTTTTGTTGAACCAGTTGCCTGTTGTTTTACAGTTTCTTTGGCCAATAAAAAAAGCAACAGCATTGAAATGGCAAAAATCAAAGAAACAATTCATATCAAAGAATGGAGGAAAGCCGCCGGACTAAAGACCAAAAAAGAAGAATATACAATAAAAAACGAAACAAAATAAAACAACACAAACAAACTTCGACAACCCATAAACATTTATGTGTGAAAGTGAGTTCCTTTGTGTGCCCGTGTGTGTGTTCATCTGTGTGGTGGAGCTTATTTGTCTTTGTGCACCCTGCAGTTAAATGTTAAATATGTCAGGATAACTGTCACACAATGAAAATCCAACGAGACAACAAATAACCAAAAACAAAAAAGCAAACGTAAAAAAGAAAAAGGATTCAGCAACAAGAATCGGCCAACAAAGACAATGAATGAATGAACGAACGAAAGAATGAATGGATGGATGGACGGGTATGAATAAATGCAATGAATAAAAACCAAAACAAAACACAGAAAGCAT